AGACTAATGTGCAAGTATCAGCAACTCCTCTTATTGTGGTGCGGTAATACAAAAGTGGCACAAGTGTAGAGTTTTGCCCCTCAATCATTTGTTTCTGCATGATATTTAGGTCAACCATTCATGGTGTCTTTTTCAAAAGCATTAATGCATGAAAAGCCTCAAGTCGTGTCATTTGCTTCATAGTTCCTTTGTGCATGCTTTTATAACACCCAGATTCTTAGAGGATGTTGATCATGCAAAAAAAATTAGAATCTTGATTCAAAAGCAAAAAAGATGATTTTTTTAATAAAGTATTTTTGGTTGAACGATACTAGTTGGATTAAGATTGTTCTACTAGGAGTAGGAAACAAATGAGGAGCCAAATAACAGTATAATTGAGCAGGATTGACATTTGTTGAGTTACAATTATTAACGCAACACTTAAGAGCAACAACTCTCGCCAGCTTTCCTTACACTTTCAGGCTCAATAACTCGTTACTCAAGATTCCCTCCAGTTTAAATAAACAAAATAAAAGGAAGTTGCTTTCAAAATTCTCTATCAACTGATATCTTTAAACAAAGAAGGCTTCTAGTAATCAGTGACTGAACATTTCAACAAATATAAATTAATTGTCAAAGGAAAGTACTCCAATTCTGTCAGTTTGCAAAACGTATAGAATGAGGAAAAAGAACAAATGGAAAAAAAATGAAACAATCTTCTATTCTACCGTTGCAAATACTTTTTACAGTACTTTAAAGAAAAACTAATTGCTTATTAAAGTGGTCTGCCTGACATGACAGGGTATCAGAAAGCAGCCATACTCCCAATATTCATTAATGAGGAGCAGTGGGTGGGTAAGTGAAGATATACCAAGCAAGTAAAAGTGGAGCAAACGTATTAGTTCTCTGAAGGATATATATGATGTAATGGCAGAGGAATGTCAATGAGGCTGAAACATTTTTTTCAACATTTCTCGGGGTGCAAATTCAGCATTTTACACCTAATAATGCCAGACTGTTCAAGTGTGTGTGGCCATTTCACACTGAAAGTTGTGTACCAGTTTTTAAAGTGTTCAATGTGATATTGAAGGTTTTTCTTCAAAATCAATTATGTCAGCATTCTTCCAGAAAATCTACATGGCTATAGAGACAGTGACTGGTTTTGTCTTGTGTGGATCAAAGGCGATCAATGCCAATTTTTAATTAAAAAGTGGCACAAATTGCTTCCCATGAACTGATCATGGCTTTGAGACTTTATGTAACTGGTATAAATTACAGTATATCTTTCTGATTTAATAATCTGCTGATAAATTCAGAACATTTGACTCTGTACCTAAAGAGGGTATGGAAGAATGTATTACCTCTACCAGCTCACTAGGATTTGTTAAGACAAACTGCATCTTCAAAGAGCACACACAGCAGATCAAAGGCACCTTTTTGTTTGAAAAAGAAACTGATCAGAATTCTTCCATCCATGTACAATGTTTGGTAGTTCATCGAGACAAAAGGTTCTGTTTTAAAGTTTTAAACTTTCAAGCTATCCTCGAGTAAAGGAAGCAGTTAACTATAAAACTGACAATGAGCAACCCAAATTAAGTAAGATTTAAAACATGCTTTTCAGAAACTAAACTAACTACAACAACAGCAAAATAACTGCAAAGGATTGAACAATATCTGTCCATATAGATTAATAGATGAGCCAATTAGGTTTAGCCTGCAAGTCTATGTCCTCTGGTAATATCTTTCACTTAATTTTGATTCTTAATTCATTGATGTATCTGCTCATAAAAGTTAATTGTTAAATCCAGGCTGTCCAACCAAATGGCTAATAAGGAAAGACACAGCTTTCATATCATAGGGGATGAGGTTGGTTTACAGGAACTAGTCTAGCCAGTATTCAAATCGAAATCTGAGTGAGTCTGAATAGCAACAGTAGTCAAAACAGTATAAAATGATTTATATGTACAGATTTATTATTGCAGTATCAGCTCCCCAATGTGTAAAGACACAAACCAAGTGCTAAACCACACACATGCTGAAAGAGTAAAGGTTTCAATCCTATGATACCAAGATAACAGTTAGGCGCTCAGTACCTAAGGCTCATCACCTGAAGGGGCAGCGAAAGTGATCCTGGAGAAGATGATATAGGTAGGAAGGTGCCAGGGATGAAGGGATTTGTAGGTGAAAGTGCCTGAATGAAAGCATCTTCTGCCCAACCTTTCAGCCAAGGGAACGATTTGTGGCCAAATCAATCAACGTCAGGACGTTTCTTTAGTAAAATAAAATCACCTTGTCCTGCATCCTATCTAATTTCTAATCAGGTTTTATTTTAAAAGAAAAGCGTACACACACAACTACACAAAACTACTCACATTTTGGACAAGGTATCATAAAAGGTCTGGATTACCACAAAATGTCTTGAATGAAGCATTCAATTTTCTTTCATGTGACAAAGTCATTTTTTTCTATCTTCCCTTTGCATGCACTAAAACTTAGGGTTGTGGATGCCAGTTTATAACTAGAACTTTCTGCCATTACAGACTTATCATGGGGAGGAAGGGTTTCCTATTAAACTATCCAGCTGCATGATCTTAAAGACAAGTTGTGTCCCAGGGTTAAAGTAAACTCTTTTGAGTGTAATCCATTTTAAATTCTTTCAAAACCAAAATGTGCACATTGTTCTAGGTTATACCAACCTGGAACCCAGATGTTTTGAAAATTTAAAAAAGTAGCAGGAATATAACTTCTTTCTGCTACTGCACAGTCAGTGGGTAAGCTGCAAAATCCACCTGGACCCAAATAATTTTCAGGAGTCGGACATTAAAAAGATAAATCATGAAACTCATCACCTGAACATCCAAGTCCCAGAATTACATTCCTCTGTTAGATACAAGGCATAAAATACAAAACTTTTCATTTCTGTCAGTTTCGATTAAATACATTTTCTATCCCTATAAATAAAATAAATATTGAATGTATGAGTCATGGGGCAAAAACAAAATCAACTTTAATCATTCAGAACCATTGATTTCAAAAAACAAGAATATTTAGAAATCCTTTAGACATTTCTTCCAAAATAAAAAATAGGCACATCATTTAATATCTAGGATTGAAATCAGAATATATTGCTCACAGCATTTCAGTGATGTTAATTGCGTTATTAAACTTTTGTTCTGTAGTTCACTCAGTGAACACCAAGTCACCTCTATGTTATCTTTCATTCTGATAAAGATTTTCAAATGGGCATAACAATAGATACTGACTATTTTCTGAGAATTTTCCAAAGGCTGCTTTTGGGTTTCACCAGCTGTTTGTTTGATAACAATCGACTTATCAGGTGGAAGAAAGAACGCATTCATCAACTGCAGAACAATATTAATTACAGGCAATTACTTCCCTTTCGATTACCCCTTATCATAGAGATGCAAATAGCACGAAACCAAATCAACTCAAGTTGCTTTCTGAAAAATACTAATCCCAAATAAAAGAATGAAGCAGCCCATTAATCTTTAGCACTATCTCTGCGCCCCCCCCCCCAAATGTTGACAGGATGATCTGTTGATGATAATGTGAACTCCTGGGTGCCCATCAGGCTGCTCTGACTTGTAATTTCTCACAGTTTAAATGAGAGAATATTTACCAGTGCTGGAGATTAGAGTGAGACAGTTACTTTAAATAATGTAATAATGCCAACTACTGCCTATTAAAAACTATGCCCAAATGCGAAATCCACCGAGTAGATCATTCACAGTAGAGCTTTCCCCGCACACAGAACAGGTATTATTTTACTCTCTTGGGCTGTGGTGAATAACCCATCATCTTGTGTTTTCAGACAGATTCATTTACAGCCCTTTGAAACACCTCTCTCTCTCTCTCTCTCTCTCGCGAAGAACCCCAGTGGGTGACGACCACACGACAGCGAGAAAGAAAAGAAAGAAAACGACAACCGGAGACTTTTCACTGTAAAGCTCTCGTTCGGACAGACCGTTAACTTTCAGCAATTAGGACTGAAAGGAAGTCAATTAGATGTTGGGGGGGGGGGAGACGGGACAAAGAATAAACTTTTATATATATACATATATATATAGGAGAGATTCATTCGGATTTAAAACGCTGCAAATGGCACCACGAAACTCCCACTAAATGCGCTGCTCTATCGAATCACCCACTTCTCCTCTCCTCCTTTACTATTTGACCCATTTCAATCCTTTTTTTCCCCTCCAGGGTACGTAGTGTGTGTGTGTGTGTATATATATATATATTTGTGTGTATGGAGAGGGAGGGAGAGAGAGGGAGGAGGGGGGGGGGGGGTTTGCGCCGAAAAGAGGGACGTGGCTGAAACTCACGTCGACCAATTCGCTGTGTAGTAGTATTTGCTCTCCGGGGAATTTCTCCTCCACATCAAAGAGCGCCGCCGTTCTCACGGACAATGGGGTATTTTTTTGGGGGGGAAAGGAACCTTCGTCTTCAAAGGAAAAAAAAGAGCGCCTTCCCCTTTCCTTCCCTCAAATAAATCCCACCGAACAATTTTTTTTTGGTGTTAAAAAAAATTAGTTACGAATTTCCGACTCCTCGTCTCGACCCCCTCTCTCCCCCCCTCTCCCCCCCCCCAAAAAAAAAGGCTAAGGGCAAACAAAAGCAACAGAGCCTTTCTTTCTTTCTTTCGAGGTTAAAAAAAAAGGGACCGTTATCTTTTGTTCAGAATCCCTCACAATTTTCCTTTCGAGTGGGTGGTGGGGGGGGGGGGGGGGGAGGAGAGAGAGAGAGAGAGAGTTGGGAGGGGAGAAAAAAGGGAGGGAGTGAGGGAGAGAGAGAGAGAAAAAAAAGTTCAGTGACAACGCATTGCACCGAAAGCAGAGCCTCAAAAAACGTCGCCGCGCGGTTACATTCCCTCATATATATATACACACATACACACACGTATCATAATTATATACGGTATTAAATTTAAAAGATGTATTCCAAACCCTCCCCCCTTCTTCCTCTCTCTTCCTCTCTCTCTCTCTCTCGCTGCAGTTTACCTTGTTCCGCACTTCGGCAGTCAGCCCGTACGCCGGACCTTTGTTGAACTGAGCCATTGTGTGCGAAGAGTGGCCGCGGAGTCGGGGAAAGGGGACAGAGGAGCCGCAGATACTGTCCGTCTCTCTCTCTCTCTCACACACACACGCGCGCGCGCGCGCACTTCTCCTCACGGAGTGACCGGGAACACACTTGGACACGAGGAGAAGCTGCACGCGGTGTGGCGGCGGCGGCGGCGCTGGTGGTTGTTGTGGTGGAGGAGGAGGAGGGGCGGCGGGCGGGCGGGTCGTCCAGGGAACGTTCCAGAAGCCGGTCCGGCAGCGCGCTCGACGGCGGTTTTTTTTTCAAACCCCGACCGTTGCTCTCTCTCTCTCTCTCTGTCTGTCCGTCGCTCGAGCGCCAACGCGATGTCAATGCGAATGCCGCCGCCGCCTCCTCCTCCTCCTCCTGGACCTTCCCGGAGCCGATTGTTCCTCCCGCCGCGCGCGATTGGTGAGAGACGGGAGAGAAGGGGACCAATCAGTTTCAACTCCATGTCTTTTGTTTCGTCCTGAAAACGGTACAGCTGCTCCCCCCTCACTGCTCCCCCCCTCACACACTACCCCCCCCCCACGCTCCCCCCCTCACTGCTCCCCCACACACTACCCCCCCCACTGCTCCCCCCTCACACCCCCCTCACACACTACCCCCCCTCACTGCCCCCCCCCACACACACACCCCCCACACCCCCCCTCACTGCTCCCCCCTCACACACTACCCCCTCACTGCCCCCCCTCACTGCTCCCCCCACACACACACCCCCCCCACTGCTCCCCCCCACACACTACCCCCCCTCACTGCCCCCCCACACTGCCCCCCCACACACTACCCCCCCCTCACTGCCCCCCCCACATGCTCCCCCCCCACACACTACACCCCCCCCCTCACTGCCCCCCCCCAACACTGCTCCCCCCCCACACACTACCCCCCCTCACTGCCCCCCCCTCACTACCCCCCCTCACACACTCTCTCACTGCCCCCCCCTCACTGCCCCCGCCTCACACACTCTCTCACTGCCCCCCCTCACTGCCCCGCCCCTCACACACTCTCTCACTGCCCCCCCCTCACACACTCACTCACTGCTCCCCACCTCACACTCACTCACTGCTCCCCCCACCATACACACAACCTTCCCCAACACACCATCACACACAGCTTTACCCCCACTACAATCATGACCACACACACCTCACCCGCCACACACTGCTTCCCCACCCCCTCACACACACAGAGCTCCCCCTACCCCACTACCATCATCACTTCCAATCAGCAGCACCTCCACACCACTGACCCCCACCCCACAGTGTGAGCAGCCCAGGCCCCCTCCTCTCCCCCCAAAGGGCCGGGTCGAGCCGTCAATGCCTTGGTTAGGGACAAAGACTCCTCTCTTCCTTCATTCATTCCTTCCCCCCCTCCCACGGGGATAACGGTCTGTTTTCAGGACTCTCCTAGAATTGTTTTTTTACACACACACTATTTGGAAACTTCACTGCTGCTGGACCTTTGGCCTCAGTGTTTTTAATGATTGCGTGCCGCGGTGTGTTTTTCTCTTTTCTCTCCTTGGCATTTCAGATTCGAATGCCCTCGTTTGAACTATAAATCACGTTGAAATTGTATTACGTTTCAAACACCTTGTACCAGGATCTGAGTTTTCCATGCACTGTACAGTCTGCTATCTTTTTGGGCTTTTCATTGCTGGGCACAAAGTGCAATGACCTCCCTACATTTTACAAATGGTCAATATTTACACCTAGTTGAGACTGGCATTTCTGATTCACCCAAGGATTGCTGCTTATACCTAGACGGAGAATTGCAGGTTGAAATGACCAAAGAGCACACATATTCTACATTTTTCCCTACTCTTTGTAGAATCATTTGAAGCTTACAATCCACTCCAAACCCTTCTTACATTAGTGACAAGCAAACAAACCATCAACCTAAAAGCATGCTTGACACACTTTATCAAGCTAAGAATGCCGTAAAACAGTCAAAACCGTAAAGACCCTATGTATGGAAACATACCCTTAAGGCGCTGATATGCAACATGTTTGTAAAAGAGGGTAATTCACCATTAAGACTCGTTCTAAAAATCACGCATTCAAAATTAAAATCCTTTTGAGTATTTTCTTAAACACTGAATGCTGTAATCATTGGAGGAATGATTATTGTTTTCATTGGTTTAAAAGAGTTACTGAAGGGAAGAGAATCAAAATACACACAGCTGAAAATTAAGTCTAATACCAATTAATGTTAGGAACACAGAAACAGAAGTAGGCCATTCAGTCCTTCGCGCCTGTTCTGCCATTTGATTAGATCATGGCTGCTCTGTACCTCAACTAATCCTTTCAATTCCAATTTCCCGCTTTCTCTCCATATCCCTTAATATCCTGACCTACCAAAAATATATCTACCTCATACTTGAAGATGTGGATGGATCCAACAGCCACAGCCTTCTGGGGGAGAATTCCAGATTTCTCCCACCCTTTGAGTGAAAGAATGTTTCCTGATTTACTCTTAAATGGCCTGGTTCTAATTTTAAGACTATGCCTCCTTGTTTTGGATTCCCCCAAAATATCTTCTCTGTATCTACCCTATCGAATCCCTTTATCGTCTTAAATATCTCAATCAAATCACCCCTCAACCTTCTAAACTCAAGGGAATACAATCCAAGTTTACGCAGCCTTTCCTTCAGGTTTGGTAATATTCTGGTGAACCTGCGCTGCACCCCCTCCAGGGCCAATATATCTTTCCTAGGTGTGGTGTCCAAAACTGAACACAGTACTCCAGATGGGGTCTGACTAATGCACTGTACAGCTGAAGCATCATTTCTTCCCCTTTGTATTCCAATTCACCTTTTCAGTGTCAGAATGGGTAAATCCACCCAGCCATGTAGCATCAATGATAACATCAAATTTCACTGTTTAAACGTTACCAGTACACTAACAAACGAATCAAATCTGTTTCCAGGTTATCATAACTTTACGCAAGTTTTTTTAATAAACAGTCTTCCAGTTACAAAGTGCTTAGTCATTTTCTGTAAACTGAGTGCTTCGCTCATTATTCATTTTGAAAATACTTATTAACTTCAGCTGTGGGAAATAGTCTTTTTGTGCTCTCTGCCAATGTTGGGTAACTCAGTCACCTAGTACTTCATATGATGACCCTTGCAGCAATCATTACACAAGGGTTACACAGTACTTGACTGGGAAGTGAAAAACAAAAGTTAACTTTGATAGTACAGTATTCATATCCACCACATAGTATAGTGGTGCCAAATGCAGCCACACACCTCTTCACATTGTGGATTACCGATTATAACTGCCGATAACTATGCCTTAGTTAAAGGAATCTTTGTTGGCTTTAGTCAGCTCACTAGATGGAGTGGCACACAGAATGATGATTGTTTCATCTTTGGAGTTGATAGAGAAAACATTGGCGTTGCTGAGCTTGTTTCGATTGAATTGTATCACGTATTGGCAGATTAAGGAGCAGCATTGATAGTGAAGTTTCCATTTCCAACAATGCCATATTTCCATCTCAGGAAAACACTGGCAGTGATCCTCTAGTAAGGAGGAAAGCTAAAAGCACAAACTGTATCGTGCATGGAAACTATTTGCACTGAGTAAAAATATGTGTAGGCTTATTAGATTGGAATAAAGAACAGTAAATCTGTTTATGGTTAGTTTACTGCTCGTCATTCTTTGATTGTAAGACAAGGTAGACAGAGTTCTAGATTGCTTTCAAAGGCACCCTTGACCTGCCCACTAAAGCCATATGAGAATAGCAAGGGTTGACTCATCCACTGATTTTCCCTGTCTTTTCTCAAGTGTCCTGGCTAAGAACAGAAACACATTGTGAGCCAGAATCGGCAGACTTCACTGTGTGCATATACAATATATGAAAAATAATTTATTGTTGATTGAGAAGTCTACAATCTAAAATTCATCATTTTTGGCATATCTTTTTTAAACATTATTTTTCTGTTAAAGTGCCTAGTCTTTCCCCTCCTCCACACACAGATTCCTTCCATGATTTGGGCACATTGGCCTTTGTTGCCCTTTAATAGGTTTTGTCTTAGAATGGTTCCGTAAATACTACTCAATTTTGCACTGTAGATTTTGGTACCAATAATGCACCATAGAGCCTTCAGGCTACTCTCAGCTGCCAAAACTATACTCTTTGCTCTTTCTCTCTCTCGTCCTGTCTAGAAGATCTGGAACAATTGTTAATTCTTTCCTTTACTATCTTCAACCTCAATCCAAACTAACTAATACATCCACCCAAACAAGTATTTGTGAAAGGGTTTAAAATCTGTTGCTGGTCAGAGAAGAATAGTTTTTTTCATAACACGTAACATATTTTTAGGATGCATATTTGTGGACTGGAAAATCAGTAAAACAATGAGTTTTCTTTTGAGGCAAATAGCTAACTAAGTCCAGATGCTGATATGTGTGTGTAACAATGTGATAAATGTTGTCAATATGAGGTTAAATAGAATGATCTGGGAAATCACTATTGGACCGTTTGGAACAATACTTTGTGGGAAGGTCCTGTATTAGGGAAATACTGATTATTTGAAAGCAGTAAGAGGTATTTCAGTGTATAATTCAGAATGTATTAGCATGCAACTTAACAGGCATTGAGCAATTTTGATGGATTGTAGACAGCATGTATCCTACTATCAGAAAGTGTTATAACCAATTGGCAGTAAATATAATTGTAATAAGTTATTTGAGGAAACACATATATTCTTCATAGTATAGAATTGGGATTGTAAACTGTGCTATATTTTTCCTACTGTGAATCAGAATAAGTGACATGTGTCCCCTGTCTTGTGGTGCAAAGTAGAATTCCTAATCCTGTGTCAACATACTGTATATTTGATTGAAATGACTTCAAATAATCGTGTTAAGCAAAAGTCTCAATTGTTTTCAATATAATTTGTAAGTGTATGAGAATGTACTAGAACAAGATTCTTAAATATGAAAACAAGTTACAAAAACAAGTAATTTCTATCAGGTGTATTTTAGATGTACTCAATGTAAATTAAAGACCATTATTTATAGTATTTCATGATTGTTGCATTCTTTAAATTAATTTATAGCCTTTTTTTCTGAAGTTAGAGTTTATCAAATGTATATGCATCCCTTATAAGCCTTATTAGTGCCTTACCTCAGTCTGGTGTTTAGCTAGATCAAAGTCAAGAATGCTTCTTCCTACTCAGCTGTGTTTAATTACCATAAAAGCACATATAACAGCTCCAATAACCTTGGAATGTCTGTAGGTATTTTACAGAGCTGCCAACACTAACACAGAGTGCATTTAAACAGCTGGAAATCTTCAGAAATACTGATTCTGTCTATTTCTTTATCAGAATATGATAAAATATGTACAGTAGTCTTCTGAGTAAACGTATCTCATTGCAGGTCTGAAACAGCCAGAGATGAAGATCATCATAAAGAGTTCAATATAAAAGAAACTTTAGAAGCTTGTGGAAAGAATGTAATTTCAATACGTCCAATAATTCAAGGTCTTTATTGTTGAACCATTTCAATGATCTACATGTATTAAAACTATTAACATCAAATCAGCACCTTCTTATTTATATACAGTAAAATATTTTATCCCAGGACAGACAATAGGGAAGATGCTTATCTGGAAATGAATTCTGTTGGTAGCGAGCGCAGGTATATTTTGTGAATGATTTTCTGTTTGTCTGTGTCATTGTGGTTTTCTCTCCCCCACTTAACGTCTCTGTACCCTCAATATCCCTTCTCTGTATATCTTTTCAATACTGTCCATGACACTCGCTTGCACATTTCCATCTTAATAACAACTTAGATTTATAAAGCGTAATTCATGTAGAGATGCATCCCAGATGGCCTTGTGCTGTTGGTACTCTCAATAGTGGGTGGTTGGTCTCGTTGATCAGGAAGGTAATGGCACAATGATTCGTTCATACTCTCACTTCTCTCGCACAAAGAGCTGCTCACATTGCCCTTGTTCCACATATCTGCTCTCGTTTGTCACACTTGCTCTTGCTCATTACATTAATTCTGTTTTACACAGAACCCTCTTGCACTCAGAGCCATTCCCGTTCTTCTCACATTTAGAGCCATTCAAACACACTCTCCCTTCTCTCACCCTTGGAGGTGCCATGAACTCTTCTCCAAGAACACACTGAACATTGAGATCTATAACAGGACATAGCGGAAATGCAGAAGTAGCAGTTTGAGGGTTAACAAATTTAGATCCAGTGTTGCAAATCACAACAAACTAAAAAGTCAGGAACATTTACCAAAATTATTTGCTGCAAGGAAACACTTTGGGAATAATCTTAAAATAATCCAATTATACTAAGAGGTTGCTGAATTGCAACTTTTGTTTAAAAGTAAAAATTATTAAATGCAAAGTTCCCTCATGGATGATATGGAGCTCATCTATTCTTAAAAGAAATACTAAATAGTATTCTCTTAACGAATCTTGGGAAAGGATGATGAGTTAACATTCACAATCAAACCATCACCAGAAATAAAAACTCTCATTATTTGCATTCTCGGGGGATTAAACGTCGTGCTGCCAAATTATCGTACACCATTGTGATAATTGTAAAGAGAGTTTAGAGACATAAAATAATTTATGACAATAATTACCTTTTGAATCTCCCAGGCCATTTCGTGCCCATATTACCAAATGCAGAATTGTCACTGGAACATGCATGTGTGGGCCAGGGAAGATCTGAAATCCATCATTTGACTTCATAGAATGATGGATTTCAGGCATAATTTATAGCCAATAATAATTTCATTATATTAGTTGACATAATTAATTTATTACATTTAAAGCTCAGATGCGTTAATTTTTAATTGTGCAGTAGTTACAGAGCTTTTCTGCTTCCAGCAGCTTGTCAGAAACGTTATCAAAGGAGACATTTTTTTGCCATGATTTAGAACGAGGCAGTTTAGAAACTGTTTTGAAAATGAATTCCAACCGTGTTCATTATTTGTACATTCACAAGTACACTGCCATAAAAGATAAATATATTGTCTTTTAAGTTCCAGAATGGATTGCAGACGGCTCCTGCTGAAGGTATCAATCACTTTTAGCAAAGGAAATCTGCTTTCGTTGCTGAAGCTTTTTAAAATTTTAACTTGTGGTGGTGTCAATTCAGAATTCAGATGAATGTTTTTGGTAGAGTTTAAATTCCAAAGTGTGATACATCGGGGTCATGGTAGGAATCTGCACACTATATATTTAAGTTACGATTACAATGGCTGGGGAACACTATATGAAAGGAAGGAAGCTGGCCGCTGAACGTGAATTATTGTTGCATTCTGTTCAAATTCATTCCTTGGAGCTTGATACACTGCCCAGTTCAGAACCGACTTCCAAACCAGTATTTATACAATACCTAAACTCAACATAAATACGAGTCTTTGCTCTTTCATTTTTTCCCCTCAAGAAAAAACTTTCCTTGCAAGTCAACTCACCACCATAGATCTTTCTCCAGTCTAAAGGGGACAATAGTCTGGAGCACAGAAATGAAACCTGAGAGAGGGTAAGCTGTTTTTCCTATCACACAATACTGAATAACAACTTTTACATCATGGTCTCAACAATCCACTGAATTCTGTTATTTTAATCAGGATTCCTGGGCCAAGGTGGATACGGGGAGGGATTCTTGGGGTTATTCGCTCTATAGGGTTTCCAGCACCCATTAGAGCTGCACAAATCTAGGCTGATATTTTGTTGTTGCTGGATTCATAGCAACGGTGACTAAAAAGAATCAAAGGTAAAAGAACTCGGTGAGAGGAAGTGGGAGGAGTAAAGAGAAACCATAGAACAGGAGGAGGAAAACCAATGTAAAAACAGTGGAGGGAAAAACAATACAGGATTAGCAAATTAGAACCAGAGGATTAACAGAGAGAAAGAAAACATACAAAGAGGAAAAATAGATTCAGAAATACAGCACATGAAGCAGAGGCTAGGATAACTTGTGTGAGAATAAACAGCAAGTTATAAATATTTAGAGTACAAGTCTGGGAACCTTGGCTGTTTTCCTCCTCATTCACCCAGAGTGCTGAAATTAATTGTAGCGCCTTAGCTGAGATCAGGTAACAGCATGTTATTGAAGTCTGAAATACACGAATATAGAATTAAAACATACAAAAAGATAATATTTCTGCTGGCACTCCTATGTAATCAGGAGCAATGCGCGAGAGAGATCGAAAGACAAGCACTTGAACCAACAGTTTCCATCAAATAAACGTGCAGACCGCCATGGAAGAAACTTCATATTTTGCTGCTTAATTACAGGCAAGAAAAATGAGAAGGGAAACAAATCTTGTATTAGGGAGAGAGAGGAGCAGTGAAGACAAATATTTGTTTTTAAGTCATCACTAGTCGTTTGCAGTGGGGGAGACTGTGAAATCTAAGTAGATTAAACAGCTAACAGTGACTTTTTTTTACAAAATCACTTAAAGTGAATCGACTCCCTCACACTCCATGGATGTATTTGACTAACATTTTATTCTATTGGTGTTAGGGAGTCTGGAGACTACATTCTTCAATGCGTTCCTTCCCACAGACATTGTACGTGTTTTGTGCAATTTTCCTATCAGTTCCTTTTTTTTCTTCTAAAGAGATCAGGTCAAATATTTGTGCTCTGGAATGTACATTGTGCACAGTTGTTGGTTCCTGACGCCCTCAGAAATGTTACCTCCCCAATCTTCTCAGTCTTTATCTTGTAGTTCAGACTATTCTTCCAAGGTAAATCGATTTGGGATATTTCTCCTTTAAAGTCGACCACTGGACAAAAAAGTAATCTGACAAATAGTACAGTATCTTCCCCGAAAGTGACAACGTTTCCACTCGGCAGATGCTCTCCACGTATATAATCAGCACTTTCTTTATTCCGAATATTCCAAGCAACAAAGCGGATAGACAGAGTGGCACACACGTCCCTGGTCCATTGCACATCACCTGCAGAGAAACAAACAGGATTATTTATACAGTATACAAGAATTTCCATAGCTGAGATTTTAATGCAGCCTACTGGAATTGTGCACAAATTCATTGTCGAGCTGACACAGCACTGGATGGTCCCATGTTTCAACCTTTGTCTAAAACCTGATGGTTATGTGGCATCAGTATCCCTGGGCTGGGAAACCAAGAAAACCATCCTACTCTTGATCACTATTTAGTACTTCTGCTGGAAAGAATGTGTCTATAAATCAGATGGGGACACAATCAGGTCAACCCCCCCATCCCATGGCTGAATAGATTATTGATTAATTGCCTATACGACCATTTTGCTCAAAAATAGTTTCACGTCCTTACAGAGTAGTAATGTGAAAACAACTGCACTTCTATTCTAGTTTGTGTGGCAGTTAACTTGTGTAGCTGAAACACTGGATAATACACTGCAGCCGTCAACAATGGACTTCAATTCTTTGTGGATTATTGTTAATCTCAATCATGACGATGCTTGTGTGACCCACTGACCAATAATAAAACGGCATTGAGTAAGTGGAGGATCAACTGTCACACTGAGGGAATGTGCCGACAGAAAGTAGCTGTGGGGCCCGATAGGAAAATAAATGGGGCCAAAAATTCCAATTAGTTAGGATACACATGTGTGTTTTAACATTTGGAAATTCTGACTGCTCCCACGAACAGGCTGAGCCAGCTCTTGTTAATGGAGAATGCTAGATAACAAAGATGAAACACTAAATTAGAGAGGAGGAGTCAGCAACATGTCTGTGTGCATTTCACCTTCACAAGTTTGGGTGAGTTCACTTCCGAGCATGAGTTTGGAAGCGGCGTTTTAATACAACCCAAAACTGCCCGTCTCCTTGAGCTCTTTAACACAGCAAGTAAGCATTGGCTGCAATCCAACTGGCCAGTTCCATTAGTAACATGCTCCAGCGAGCAATACTAAGTATCACTAGGCAAAATACTGCAGCCACGTTTATCTTCATATAGAGCCGACTGCTCACATCATAGCAATGATGGAATATGTTTCATATAATTTATTTTAAATGCAGTAAAATGGTATCTCAGCTTCACTTCTATTTGTATATTCTTTCCACAAGTGGTATTAATGGCAGGAAGCCACTAAATGGAAACTATTAACCTTCTCCCAAACCACCTTCATTAGAGGACTGAATACACAGATATGAGAACAGCTGTAATTAACAAGACTGCTTTTCCAAAGTAATTGTTTACACTGACAGGATATACAACCAATACACAGAGTCACTTTGAATCAAACTGACAGTATCTCCAGGTTTCTCTATGCAATGATCAACAGCAAAAAAAATGATTTCTGGAGGAAGACAAATGAGAGGCATATTTAATTTTTCTCTGAATGTATTGCTACGTGTTGTAAACGCACCTACTCAATAAGGCGAGTTAACATGAAGCATGAAGGAATCTTAGTAGCACCACTAAGTCATTCAGTGGTGGCAGATACCTGTTTGATCATACAAAGCTACTCTGGTCACATTTATGCAAAGACCACATCAATCTTCAGAGTTCCGGGCTTCGATAGGCTGAAAAAAAACATTCTTTGCAGCTGATTTTCAGTCAAAGGTCACTCCCCAAAATGGATTTTTGGATCCAGAAGGGGAAGAACAGGAGAAATAAAGAAAATGCAGTTCATAATAACAATAGAGAACAAGAAAGATCACAAAAAATGTTTAAAAACAGTCTGACAGTAATTTCACAAAGTTAATACTTATTTGAATTTAAAAATTAATTACAAATATAATTTGGACTCCAAAGACTATTTCCTTGTTTAAGACGTTTTAAACAATGAAGGGAATATGATGTAAGGATGTATTTTGTACTAATCTACGATAGGAACCAAAGAACAAAATTACAAGATAAAGACACTGATTACAGGATTATAAAACTAACACAAATGATAGGATTATAGGATACACATAAGATAAATTCAATTCAAGAATTTTCTTTTAAATCAGTATTGGAATCCACATCTTACAACTCCATCACACTGCATGCTCTGGCTCTCGAGGTGACATATTCATATCAGACTGGCACAAAATAAAAAGTTGGTTGTCTCTTTATTCTTTGTTGCTGAGGAAGAGAGTTGGCCAATTGTCAAACCTCCTCCCACTCAATTTTTCAGTTCAACTCTGAAAACCATGATTCACAATTTCCAGATGTAATTTCTTTATATCAATTGATAAATTGTGGTTCGGCTCCAGCTGGTGTTTGAAGGATAAAAGGGCAGCACGTAGCCAGACTCCAGCAAACCGTTCAGCTATCTAATAGATATAAGAGCCATTACATAGGAAGCAAGATGGTTTCCAAGGGTGCTTGGTAATCCTAACATGAAAGTGAATATCCCTCTCGTCAGGCAAGAAGTGTCAGAACCGTAAATTATTATGGTTCATAAATGAGGTGAGCCATCTGGTATTTAGAATATTTGCAAACATTCTAAATTTGAGCGCAAATCCGCCAATCAGATGCAAATTAATGTACGGGAATGTTTGGTTGACTTCACTGTGCCACTGACACTGGTTAAGCATATAAGAATCTCCAGTTATAGCAACTAAGTCTTGCTGGTAGTCTAGCCGTTAGATGGCTGTGTGGTGCTGAGCAAAAAGGTCAAACATTGCTTTTCTTGAATAGACACAGTGATATTGTCCTTGAGGGAGACTTTGTCTACTGCAGCATATTAAGAGTACAATGGCAGCTCAAACCTCCTCAAAGCCTTGTGGAATCATCAATCTAATCCACCCATACTGCGCATTGTTCACAGTGTATGGAGTTTGGGTAGAACCATAGAACAATAATGTAATCGGCCAAAGGTTTCGCTGGTCTCCTTGTGGGCTCCTGCAACAATATCTTTGGTGTCTCAGCAGATGAGTCAAAGTTGTTTTTTCTCCATTTACATAAACAAATATTTCTAAACATGTTCTGATTAATCTGATGTCCTTCGTACTGTTGTCTTGTACATGGGAGTCGAGCTTCCAATTGATTGGAAATATGAGCATTTAGATTATCTTCTGTTTTGTCTTCAACCCTGTCCTACTTACCCAGGGCCAGTTTCTTTTTAGTTACAGAATAGGCGAGAATGTGACCCTGAGTACTGCCCTGGCACCAAATACAGAATGGATTATTTTTCTGAAAGCAATCCCATTTCTTTACGAAAAAGGGAGTGATTTTGCTCAAATTTAAGAGGATGTGATTAAAGCACCATCTTCTGAATCACAGTGAGACTGTCAAAAGTCATTTTCATCATCACTAGCCCAGAAGCCGTTAGGGGTGATGCTCCTAAAGAGACATTGCTATGTGCAACTATGCAATCTTCTCAGGCAGCACCGAAGTTACAAAGGTTGAGATGCTGTAATTTTCCACTTCAAACAATAAAAAGTTTGATGACAAAACAAAGGGAGGACTATATTTTTGTGTTCCTTGGAACAGAATGCAACTGCTGGAGCCTATAAAATATCCATTAACAGCCCAACATTAAAACCCTCCAATACATCTAAGCAGAGGGGAAACACATGGATAGATGCAACCTCATCGGGCAACTAAGGATACTGTCTTTATAACAACACCCAATAAACAAACAAAGTATTATGCCTGAAGAGGAATGAGAACAATTGTCACCAAATTGCATGCACTTCCAGTTTGTTGAACTGAACTTTCTGCGTTTCCAGCATGACCTTTCTGAGGATGTTTACATGTATTGTCTTGTGATCTTAAAAGAGTATTGAGATTTTAGATATTGTTATCTAGAAGTAAGCCCAAACAGCAAAGAATACACCTTTAAAAATATCCAAGGCACTTTCTGAATGCAATAATGTTAAATTATCAAACAAAACCTGTTCTCTAAAATGAGAACACAGAAATAGTTTGCCAGTAGAGAAGAGCTGTACCTGGGAAACTGTACTCTATCATGAGTCAGTGACGTAAGCCTTGCATTAAAGTCATACATGAGTAAGTCTTGCATTAGAAGTCTTGCAAATGTGAGATACAAGTGTTGTGCCAGAACAGCCTCAGCTGCTAGTACTCGACACAAGGTTGTGGATTTCTCATGTGCCAGCCTGGACTCCTGGACTTCGATAGCCTACGGGATTGAAATCCTAGTCCAGGCTGACACAACAGTGTTACTGGGGGAATTCTGTATTGGGAGTAATCTTTCAGATGAGATTTTACTCTGAGGTTTTGTCTGTTTCTTCAGATAAATATTAAAAATCCCATAGCACTATTCAAAAAGTTTCTCCTGGCAGTCTGACCAATAATTCTCCAGTTAATAAATAGTAATAATACTCCTTGCGTTTGATATAGCGCCTTATCACGTCTTCGAGGCGTCTCAAAGCGCTTCACAGAATATTCTGTAAAGTGAATTGACAGTATATGTTGTGGGGGCATATATATATGTATATATAAATAAAAAGGATCACCTCAAGGTTGTTTACTGCACACAAAATGGTTGTGCAATTGCCTGGAAAACAGTAACTACACGTAACAGTACTTACTGTAAAGTGCTCTGAGACATTCCATGATAAGGCACAAGTTCTTTCGGTTGTGCAAACAATCATGGCAACATGTAGCAGCAGAAATCTGTTAATATTTTAACCTGTAGATTTTTAGAAGAAAATCTTTTGGAAAAAAACAATTTGTCACAAAAGAGTTGTACATTATGCACAAAGCACAATTAGAGAGAAAGGAAACTGTCTGAAATGAAATGTGGTTTTGCCGTCCAATACCTCATTAGTAAACTCAGCTAGGCTTACACCAAAAGGAGCAGTGTCTTCTTGCATGCAACAGCACAGAATTATTTGGTTTATTATGCTGTAAATTCATCATCTGGGTTTCCTAGCCAGATAGAACACTCCCACAGACCACTGGTGCCTCTCTTTTGATCCCTTTCTCTGTCACAGTGAAAATACTTCACAGGAAATGAGAAGAAAAATATGTCTGGTTCTTTATAAGAGGTTTGAAAA